TAAAAGATAAGTGAACTATGGGTCAGGGATTTAGCTCAGTGGTGTAAGTGCCTGCCTAGCAAGCACAAAGTCATGGGTTCAATCCCAGTACCAAAAAAAAAAAAAAGTGAACTTCTTCTAGTTCTAACTCTGATGTAAAGAGTATGGAAATCATCACTTTTGCCCTTAGAAACAAGAATATGACCAAACTGCAAACGAAGACTAGTCTTAGATGCATCAGAAATTTGAGGCCCACCTATAATATCCACAGTCCGTGACTCCTTTAACAGCAAAGAATGTTAACACAATCATACAAACCTGGGATCATGTTCTGGGAAGATGAAGAAATTCAGGCTCAGAAAAGCAGTCACCCAAAGGTACACTGCCAGTTAGGTGGCAGCCTCAGGAGTAGAACCCAAATCTCAACCCTAAAATCATTTTTTTCCCCCAGTAGTAGCTACTTCTTAGTCATCTAATGAGTTATTTACTCATTAACCTTTATTAAACACCTTAGATGTTTAAATTTTTGCACATAGCACCAAAGTACTGCATAGAAACAGATGACCTGCTTGAAGAGGCGCAGATTGTAGAATGGGTCCCTGATCACTCAAGAGCTAGTTACTTTTTTTATTTTAAAGAGAAAAAAAATTCAAAACAAAATAATAAGAGGGTAACAGTGGTCAATAAATTGCATGTTATCTTATTTTTTAAGAATCTTGCCTTTATTTTTATTTTTTATTTAAGAGAAAAAAGGAGCTGGACATGGTGGCACATGCTTGTAATCCCAGCACTTGGGAGGGGGTCATTGAGAGTTTGAGAGCAGCCTGGGCTACAAAGTGAGCTCAAAGGCAGCCTGAATTACATAGCAAGATCCTGTTTCAAAAAGCCACGAGAGAGAGAGAGACAGAGATAGACAGAGAGAAAGAGGGACAGAGAGGAAAGAAAGGCAAAAGCAAAAGAGACAAACAACAAACCCAGAACAATAACAGTAACAGTAAAGGTTCTCAAAGCAAGATGATAGGAATTTAACAGTGGTTGAAGTATTGCATATTGTTACCTTCAAAAAGGTTGCTTAGATTACCAGATGTAGACATGTAAAATTGATCTGCTCATATGAGTATTAACTGTTCTTTTCCAAGTACTAATACAGTTAGTAGTATAGTCATGTTAGCTATCTTATGTGTACACACACACACACAAAAAAAATTTATGTCTTTTTCCTTTTTCCTTCTTTCCTCCTTTTGTTATCTTTAAAATAGTTATGCAGAGTACAAGATATTGGCATTTGACTATCTAAAAAGTATTAACACAAACCTTTCTTTTCAATGAACTAAGAAAAATTAATATATAACTATCTTAACTATCATATATATATATATATATATATATATATATATATATATTTAAAGAGCTAGTTATTGATTATGTGTTATGTGCCATGCCCCAGTTTTAGCCAGGAGGTACAGTGAGAAAAACGATGACCATCCTGTCCTCATGGAGTTTGGAGGAACTGGTGTTGGAGACAGTGGTCAGGAACTCATACTGCAGTGTGATACGTAGTCTTATGAGGGCTGCTGAGGGTGCTCTGGCACTCTAGGGCAGGGTCCCTAGCTCAGGTTTGAAGGGCCAGGAGTGATTTTCAGAGGGATTGGTGTTTCAGCTGAATCTAAACCGAGTCACAGCTCAAATAGCTGTGGGACAGACAACACAGGACATGAGTAGCAACCTAGGTCCATGCTTAGGCACAGAAATGCTCTGCCTGAATATCACACATATGGGCATATTCTCACTTAAACTGTGTTCTCTTTTAGTTTTCCTGGAACATGACCTATATAATTAGACATGAGTGTAGGGAAAGATTGCCCTCTTTTAAATCTACAGTGTAAATGTGATAAATGGTCACAGTTTCTTGGACTCTGTATTAGTTATTTGATTCTTGTCTCCTTTTTCTTAATCTAGATTGGCTAATTTCTTTTTATTGTTGAGTAACATTTTATCTTATGTATCATTTGTGTATCTGTTGTCTATGAAAGATCTATTCTATCAGTTCTGTCTGTTCTATCTATTCTGTCTATACAGTTGCTCCTCACTGTTGTTTCAGTTTGCATTTCCCTGTTGAATGATGATTTCCAAGCTGTTTGCCATTCAACAGCTTTTTATTTGCTTATTTTCTATGTATATGTCCTCATTGGTAAGGTATCTGTTGAGAATAGAGGATGCAGAAACATCCTAGACACCTTCAACCATCCAATCTTTGACAAAAGGGCCAGAAACATGTCGGAGGAAAGATAACCTCTTTTAAAAATTATGGGAAACCCGCCTTTCCACGTGCACAGGATTGAAGCTAGACCTATATATCTCACTAAAATCAAATGGTTCAAAGATCTAAATGTTATAACAGAAACAATTTGCTGAAAGAAAATTAGGTAAAATTCTTGAAGATACAGGCATAGGCAAGGACTTTCTGAACAGAGCCCCAGTTGCACAAGAAACAACAAATGGGATCATACCAAATTGAAAAGCTTCTGTACAGCAAAGGAAACAACCAACAGATTAAAAAAGCAGCCTACAAATGGGAAAAAAAAATTTGCCGGCTATACTTCAGACAGAGAACAAATATCTAGCAGATGTAAAAAACTCAAAAAATTAAGATACCCCTAAGTGAAAAACTCAATCAAAAAGTGAGCAAAACCAGATGTGATAGCACACGCTGTAATTCCACCATTCCAGAGGGAGGCAGAAGGATTGCTCGAGTTTGAGGCAAGCCCAGGCTAGTGAGTTCAAGGACAGCCCCAACTACATAGCGAGACTCTGCTACAAAAGAAGGAAAGAAAAAAAGAAACCAAATTAAAAAATGAACCATTAAAATGAATAGATATTTCTCAGAAGAAGTACAAATGGCAAATAAATACATGAAAGAATATTTAGTATTTATAGCCATTAAAAAAGCGTAATTAAAACAATACTGAATTTCATCTTCAGAAAGAACATCTATCATCAGGAAATGGACTAATGACAAATGCTCTCAAGCGTCTGGGGAAAAAGGGACCGTTCTATATTACTGTTGGGAATGTAAACTAGTACAACCACTGTGGAAATTAGTATGGTGATTTCTCAAAAAAAGAAAAAAACTAAACTAGAAATTCCATTTGACTTCATTATTCTGTTTCTAGGTGTCTTCCTTAAAAGAGTTAAAAATATATTACAATGTTATATTCATTATAATCAGCATGACTCACAATAATTAAATCTTGAAAGTGGCCTGTATGTCCACCAACAGATGAAGGGCTAAAGAAAATATGGTATTTATATACAGTGGATGTTATGCTTTGTGTATAAATGCCCCATCCCTTGATTCATGCATTCCTAGGTTTTTTTGGAGGTGGCTGAATGTAGAGTGTGTAATGCTGGGATTAAGGATGTGTGATTGTTAAATCAGTCCATTGATTGGTTTAGTACCTCCCTCATCCCAGCAGTCTAGATAAAATATAATAAATAGTGGCAGAAAGATGCTATTGAGGTCTCTTGTAGCTTTTACTGTCTTCTGCTACCATCAACAATTGTCTTTCTGCTATGTGCTGCGTTGCCTTACAGCCAATCACTTGTGGACTGAAACTGTGAGTGAAATAAATCTTTCCTCCCTGTAACTTAGCGCATTGGGTATTTTGACTCAGCAATAAGAGAAACATAAGACAGTGGACTACTACTTTGCCATAAAGAAGGACAAATTTGAGTCATTTGTAGAAAAATGGATGCATCTTGAGATAATAAGTGAAATAAATCAGATACACAAATATTACGTGGACCCTCTTATATGAGAAACTCAAATATACATAAAGAAACAACAGATAATAAACAGGGAGGTGGATCTTTTGCAAAAAGGAAGGGGAACAAGAGATGGAAAAGAGGGGAATGTGAAAAGAATTAAGTTCTGTTATGTGCATCTATCAACTCCCTATCAATGAATATAATCATTTTGTACTACAGATGTACTAATAAAAATAAAAATTTTTTAAAAAGCACAGGAGAAAATATGTGTGGGGGTTGCCTTATTTTTTGAAGCAAAGCTAGTCTTGTTGCCATGAAGCAATAAAATAATTTTTATTCTGAAGTAATATTTATGTTCAGAGTTTTTACATTTTGCTGGGTATCTTAGCTAGAAAACTCACTATCTCAGAAATGCAGGCTTTTGCAGAGGTAGTAGTTTTACACAATAATATCCAAATTTATTGCTTCAATATTACATGTTTTAGGAGAATCTTATTTTTAAATCATATTGTGTTTTTTGAGATAAAGGGCAGAGCCTATTGAATCCTTGACTTTAGATAACATTTTTATCACATTTTGCCTCTTTTTTCTCTTTTATTTCTTGAGATGTATTTGTGATACATAATATGTATCATCATTTTGGGTGATTGGTACATATATGTATTGCATCTTAATCATTTTTACTTCCTGTTCCCCTCCTTGTTCTCTGCTCCAATTCCAAATTTTCTTTTATTTTAGGTCTAAACTTCCTTTCTTTTCTCTCTCTTCTGCCTTCTTTCTTTTTACCTAAAAATATTTTTTTCTATGATTAAATTTGAAATATTAGTATAGTTTAGTTTATTTCTTACTTGGACACTTTAACTTTATAAATCTAGATGTGACTTTCTGATCACATTTCATGCCCAATATTTGTATTTTATATTTCATTTTCATGTTTCACATAAACATCCATATTTTCCACATGGAACATCATCTCACAATAAGCTAGGTAAATTGCTTTTGGGCTCCAAAAGATGCCCTTAGGTTACTGGTGGGTATCCATTCTGCTACTGTGATTACCTGAAAGACCTGTTATCTTTCTGGTACCATTTTAAAATTGTTACTAGGGTTTGAAGGAATGGTTGAGAGTAAAAGTTTTAGTATAAAATTTTTATAAGTAATATTTGATAACTGGCACTACACATATGTATGACTTTAATGCATTGTTTAAATCCATATGACATTTTTACATTTTTTTTTTTTTTCTCTCACAGACATCAGAAAAGAAAGGAAAGGAGGCAAGAAGTGGGTTTGGTGGGCCAGTTGTTAGTTCTCTATACCATGAAGAAACCATCAGGTAATTTCGTTTCTGATCTTTGCTAATAAAAATGTACATATGTAAAAATATGCATTTTTTAAAATCTTAGAATCTTCTATTTGTGAAGCACTTTTCTTAACATGAAACTGTTTTGATGTAATCTTCAGTAAGATAATAACAGGAAAGAGTTTTGTAGATGTATAATCTATAAAATCAATAAATATTTGAACTAGTGCCAAAGTATCTGAACAAATGAAAATATAATTACTTATCACTTATTATCATAGACAAAATCAAAGCCCTCTCATATATATGCAGTTGATAGAGTGAAGTTTTATGTACCAATCTAAAACTGAGTTTTTGTTGTTAATTTTTCACAGAATACACTATTTCCTTTAAAGATTTTAGTTTTAATAATTTATGTACCCTAATTAAAAGTCATCTAAGTTTAGGGACTGGAATGTAGCTCACGGTACAGTACTTGCCTATCATGTGGGTGGCCTTCCACTTAATTCCCCACAATGAAAAATAAGAAAACAAGACAGTCATTTAAATTTAATTGCTTCTAAATTAAAAGTCATTTCAAAGGATTAAAAAGAATAGGCAATATAGAAAATAGTGTTGATGTTTCCTCAAAAGATAAAAAGTAGAATTACTATTGGATCCAGCAATTCCACTTTTGAGTGTGTATCCAAGGAAATTGACATCAAGATCTCAAAGACTTATTTGCACACCCATGCTCATAGCAGCACTAATTATAGAAATCAAAGTAGGAAGCGACCTAAATTTCCTTTGACAGGAAGTTTTGACACATGCTACAATATGAACCTTGAGGACATTATGCTAAGTAAAATAAGTGAGTCACAAAAAGACAAACAGCATATAATAATATTTGCATGAAGTATTTAGAGTATTAAAATTCATAAAACTGCAAAGTAGAATACTGATTGCTAGGAGTTGGAGGGGGAAGCAGAAAATTGTTTAATCAAGCAGTTTGGTTTGTAAGGTGAAAAAGTTCTGGAAATTGGTTGGATGACATGAATATACTTCATATAACTAAATTGTATACTTACAAATGGTAATGGTAGGATACTTTATGTTATGTATTATTTTTTAATCATGATTTTAAAAAATTAAAGCTAACTTATTTAATAAAACTATTTTTTGTGCTAAATACAGAATTTCTTCAATAATCTTTTTCTCTTAGCATTGTGTATAAACCAGAAAAAGGATTTTATACTATTTTAATTAAGGGGTCATGTGACACATTCTTCCAAGATTGTTACTTACAAACTAAATATGAATCTTTAGTGTTTTATTCTTTTTGAGTCATCTGAATGTTGCTTTACTCATCAATTAACATGATATAAATATTTCAAGGTGAAAATTGACTTGACATAAATTAATTAAAAATACCTTTGTGTAGACTGAAGAAGGAATTGTAATTGTACTAAAAATTCATGCTTTGCTATTACAAAAAAAGAATTTGTTAGCCAGGTGTGGTGTTGCACGCCTGTAATCCTAGCCCTTGGTTAGACTGAGGCAGTAAGTTTGAGGTCATCCTGGACTACATAAGTGAGGCCAAGGCCAGCCTTTAGTACATAGTGAGACCCAGTCTCAAAACAAACAAACAAAACAATTTATTGACAGTATATCACATAAAGAAGTACTGTTGTGCACTCCCAGGTGATTTTATAAAGAAGGAAGTTACTAGTATTTCAATAGATCAAAAACTTGAATCATTCAGTTTCTAGGTATGCTTGGGGACCTGTTTTGAATCTTATTTGCATAGCAAGAACACCATTTTATTTAGATTACATATTTTTTGGGAATGACATAGGGGAAACTAATACATATTTGGAAAAATAAAGATACTGTTTAGGGTTCCTACTGATCTGGAATACATTTGCCACTCTATTCCTGTGATAGACTTAGAACCCTAACAAATTATAGTTTAAAAAAGCATTTTCAAAATGTAACCCTTCCATTAATCCTTGCCATGTTAAATATTTGGGTTACTAGCAAATATATGCTGTCTTTATAGTATCTTCTAAAGTATGGCATCTTAGAACCATAACCTAACAATCAAGGTTTATTAAATGTTCAAATCAAGTCAGGAAACCCGAAGAGTCATTTTTCTAACCAATAGGAAAGAAGGTAGTCATATCTTCTATTTTCCTATAGTCTTCTGTTTACATTTCTGTTATACCATTTATCACATTATTCCATATTGAAGTATCATTATTAAAAAGTTTATCTTTCCCCCTAAGCTTTTAATTAGTGTTAGAAGGGATTATGTTTTATTATCTCTGTATTCTCCTATCTGAGGAAGATCTCAGAATAGGTGTCAAATAAATCTCCTGACTTGGGTGCTATCCATAGCTGTTTTCTTCAAGAAACTTATGTAGAATTAGCCTCAAGGCTGTCACAAAACAGAGGCTGCTGATTTGGTTTTCTGTGATAGGCAAGCCTCACCTCTTTCCCTAAGCAATCAAAAAAGTTATAGGCTATTTCTTTTTCTGTTAGTTTCTTGATTGTGCTTTTTAAAAAAAGAATACTAAGTTAATTTTCTAACAATGTCAATCACTTATCTGTAAATAATAATTACATACAAATTAGATTGCGTCAATTTCCTTAAGAGCTTACAGACTAGTTTTGTGTAAAATGAGATGCTGAATAGTTCTTTTGGAATGTCCATTGATGTGACTGATCACAGTGGCTCTACAGAACATGAAGCAAATGAAATGTGCTATAGCTGAAGTGAGAGCACCCAGCTAAGAGTATTTCTGAGATAGAGTTGAACTGTACTGAAAGGCTAATCTCAGTCTTCCTCCACCCACTTCCTAAATAAGTGACCATTAGGTTTAATTAGATATTTAGACTCACTACTTAGGATTTCAATAATGAGAAACAACGATAAAGGATAATATAGCATGTTTTTAGAAAGTTAAATTCAACCCAATACACATTTATTAATCAATTCATCATGAGACAAAATCTTGTGAATATTTGCGCTTTTCTTTTCTTTTTTTTTTTTTATCGGTGCTGGGGATCGAACTCACGACTACCTGCTTGCAAAGCAGGTGCTTTTATGCCGCTGAGCTAAATCCCCAGCCCCTGTGCTTTCCTTGAATAGTATGTTCTTAGTACTTTTGATATTTTCATATAAGTATGTTTTAATATTAATTGAGTGAAATATGAACTTTTGGTATGAGTAAACTAGTTAGACTTACCCTTATTTCATTAAATTACTGAAGTACTAGTTATCTTATGATATCTTCCTAATTTTCATATTTTGGAATGTACTGTTAAGAAACAGTAAGAAGCATGAATATGAGGGAGCCATCAAAATCCTTGTACTTGTATCCTATCAGACCATAGTGGAATTAAACTAGAAATCAAAAGCAGAAGAAATCACAGAAACTGCACAAACACATGGCATTTGATGGAAATAATCATTTCATTGATCATTCAAGGAAAAAGGAAGAGGTCAGGGAAGAAATTATTTTTTAATTCCTAGAATCAAATGACAGCAGTAGTGCAACATGTCAGAATCTGTGGGACCGAATGAAAGCAGTTCCTAGAAGAAAGGTTATAGCTGTGAGTACCTATGTTAGAAAAACAGAGCAAGCCCAATTAAATAACCTAATTATGCTTCCCAAAGTCCTAAAAAAACAAATGCAATCCAAACCCAAGACTAATAAAAGGAAAAAAAATCATAAAGACTAGAGCAGAAATCAGAGAAACAGAAACTAAATAAAATATGAAGGATCAGTGAATAAGAGTTAGTTCTTTGAGAGGATAAATACAATTGGTTAATGCTTTGCCAACTTACCAAAAGAAAGAGAAGATTCTATTTTAAAATAATTTGAAATAAAACAAGTAAGACTACAACAGACACCAGTGAAATCCAGAGGATTAGAAACTATTTTGAGAACCTACATTCCAATAAATTGAAGTCTAGAAGAAATGAGTAAATTTGTAGATACATATGACTTACCAGATTGAACCAAGAAGATATAAAAACTCTGTACAGACCAATAATAGGCAAAGAAATTGATACAGTAATAAAAACTCCACCAATTAAATGAAGTCCAGAGTCCAATGGATTCAGTGCTGAATTTTACCAGAACTTTAGAAAACTAATGCCAGTACCCAAACTTCTCTATGTGAAAGGGAAAGAATATTTCCAAACTCAGTCCATAAACCCAGTGTTACCCTGATATGAAAACTAAATTGCTCAACAACAACAAAAAGCAAGCTATAGGTCAGTATGTTTGATGAACATTTAGACAAAAGTCCTCAGTAAGATACTTGCAAACAGTTCTGCAAATCATTAAAAAGATCATAATCATAACCAAGATGGCTTCATCTTAGAGATGCAAGGAGTGTTCAACACATGTAAATCAATAAATGTAGTACACCATATCAGTGGAATTAAAGATAAAATTGGCATAATTATATCAATAAATTTAAAGTCTTTGACAAATTCCATCCTTCTTTGATGATAAAAATCCTGGTGAAAATAGATACAGAAGAGCCTTACCTTAAAATGATAAGAGCTATTTATGACAAACCCACAAAATCATCCTAAATAAGGAAAAAACTGAAAGTAGATCCTCTAAATCTGGACCGAGACAATGTTGTCTTAACTGTCACCACTCCTGTTCAATATAGTATTCAAAAGTTTAGCCGGAGCAATCAGGCAAGAGAAAAAAAGAAAAGAGATATGAATAGGAAAGAAAGAATTCAAACTATTTCTATTTGCAGATGATATGATTCTGTGTATAAAAGACCCCCCCTCCAAATTCCACCACACAGCTCTTAGAGCTAATAAACCAAATCAGCAAAATGGCAGAATACAAAAATCAAACAGTATAATCAATAGTGTTCCTGTACAGCAATATAAGCACATTGAAAAAGAAAATGACCTAGGAATGAGTCTAACCAAGGAGATTGAAGATTTCTATGATAAAAATTACCAAACTTTGAAGAGATTAAAGAGGGTATGAGGAAATGGGGGGAAAAATTCCATTTCT